TAGTGAAGTGATTCAGGGAAACCGGTTATTTTTATATAGCTGGACTTGAGTACTGGAAATGGGAAGTACAGTGGACCCCCGCATAACGATATTAATCTGTTCCTGAGAGCTCATTGTTATGCGAAATTATCGTTATGCGAATGAATTTTCCCCATAAGAAATAATGGAAATCAAATTAATCTGTGCAAGACACCCCAAAGTATGAAAAAAAATTTTTTTACCACATGAAATATTAATTTTAATACACACAAACTGAAAAAGACATGCACAGTTACATGACACTTACCTTTATTGATGATCTGGTGATGATTGATGGGATGGGAGGAGGAGAGAGTCTTAGTGTTTAGAAGGGGGAATCCCCTTCCATTAAGAATTGAGGTGTCGAGTCCTTTTCCGGGGTTACTTCCCTTCTTCTTTTAATGCCACTAGGACCAGCTTCAGAGTCACTGTCGCACAGCATATCTGTCCATAGAGGCCTGTACCTCCCGTTCCTTTATGACTTTCCTAAAGTGGTTCACAACATTGTCAGTGTAATAGTCACCAGCACGGCTTGCAATAGCTGTGTTAGGGTGATTGTCATCAAAAAAGGTTTGCACTTTAAGCCACATTGCACACATTTCCTTAATCTTTGAAGTAGGCAACTTCTTCAATTCTCTTCCCCTCCTCCGAAGCAGTTTCCTGCAGGTTGTGGCCTCATGCTGAATGAGATATCTAGCAGTCATCAGTGGTTAGTCTTCATTGCCTCCTATCACCAATCTTCCACATCATCTTCACTAACCTCCACTCCAAGGACTTTCCAATGCCACAAGGATTCCTCAACTGGCTTAGGATTCCCAGGGTTAGCCTCAAACCCTTCAAAATCCCTTTGGTCTACACATTCTGGCCACAGTTTCTTCCAAGCAGAGTTCAAGGTCCTCTTAGTCACTCCCTCCCAAGCCTTACCTATAAGGTTTACACAATTGAGGATATTAAAGTGCTCTCTCCAAAACTCTCTTAGAGTCAATTGAGTTTCTGAGGTCACTACAAAGCACCTTTCAAACAGAGCTTTTGTGTACAGTTTTTTGAAGTTTGCAATAACCTGCTGGTCCATGGGCTGCAGGAGAGGAGTGGTATTAGGAGGCAAAAACTTCACCTTAATGAAGCTCATGTCCGCAGAAAGTCGCTCTGCCACGTCTGTAGGATGACCAGGGGCATTGTCTAACACCAGGAGGCACTTAAGGTCTAATTTCTTTTCAGTTAGGTAATTTTTCATATTGGGGGCAAATGCTTGGTGTAACCAGTCATAGAAAAAGTCCCTAGTGACCCATGCCTTACTGTTTGCCCTCCACAGCACACACAAATTAGCCTTGAGGATATTCTTTTTCCTGAACGCTCTGGGAGTTTCAGAGTGATACACTAATAAAGGCTTCACTTTGCAATCACCACTAGCATTGGAACACATGAGAAGAGTAAGCCTGTCTTTCATAGGCTTATGTCCTGGGAGTGCCTTTTCCTCCTGAGTAATGTAGGTCCTGCTTGGCATTTTCTTCCAAAACAGGCCTGTTTCATCACAATTAAACACTTGTTCAGGTTTCAGTCCTTCACTGTCTATGTACTCCTTGAATTCTTGCACATATTTTTCAGCTGCTTTGTGGTCTGAACTGGCAGCCTCAGCATGCCTTATCACACTATGTATGCCACTACGCTTCTTAAATCTCTCAAACCAACCTTTGCTGGCTTTAAATTCACTCACATCATCACTAGTTGCAGGCATTTTTTTAATTAAATCCTCATGCAACTTCCTAGCCTTTTCACATATGATCACTTGAGAGATGCTATCTCCTGCTATCTGTTTTTCATTTATCTACACCAATAAGAGTCTCTCAACATCTTCTATCACTTGCGATCTCTGTTTCGAAAACATAGTTGAACCTTTGGCAAGAACAGCTTCCTTGATTGCCGTTTTCTTGGACACAATAGTAGCGATTGTTGATTGGGGTTTACTATACAACCTGGCCAGCTCAGAGACACGCACTCCACTTTCATACTTAGCAATGATCTCTTTCTTCATCTCTATAGTAATTCTCACCCTTATTCCTGTAGGGTTGGCACTAGAAGCTTTCTTGGGGCCCATGGTCACTTATTTTGCAGATAAAATCACCAAAAGCACTGTAATGATACGAAATGTTCCGATTGTATGCTTGGATGTTACCAAGGAGGCTGGCTGGTAAACAATGCCACCGGCGGAACATGTGAGGCTGGCTCAGGCCGCACATTAGACGCGTCTCGGACGAATAGCGTTGAGCGGGTTTTTTAGCGGTATGCGAGGCAAAATCTTAGCGATAAAATGTATCGGTATGCGGATTTAACGTTATGTGATGCCAACGGTATGTGGGGGTCCACTGTACAATGCCTTCACTTTAACCCTTTGAGGGTCGACAGGCCCTCTCCAAGACTCATTCTCAGGGTCGGCCAAATTTAAAAAAAAAAAAAAAAATCTCTTATGAAACGATAGAGAATCTTTTCCCGATCATAATGACACCAAAAGTTTGAAATTTGATGAAAAACTTATGGAATTATGCTCTTGCGAAGTTAGCGGTCTCGGCGATGCTTACGCATCGGCGATTTTGCCCACTTTGAGCCCCATTTTCGGCCAATTCCACTGTACTAGTCAACAAAAAACATGGATATTTCGCTAGAACTCCATTTTTTCTATCAAATGAGTGCAAGAAACCAACCATTTATCAGTTTCAACTATCCAGTACAGTGGTCAGAATTTAGCAATTTTGCCAGTTTCACACAAATTTCAAAAGATGCCAATTTCTGAATAGGGTCCAGAATAAACAAGAAAGACATTCCTGGCACTAAAATGACATTTCCTCTGTTCATTAATCACGTCTCAAGGCCCCTCTTAAATTCTTTTGCTTTCCATTTTGAGTTTTTATTCTCATAAAAAATAGAAGATTTACTGTTATGCAGACTACTGCATTAGTGTAAAAAATGGTATAAATAATATTGACGCACTTGCGAAAGAATATTAGACTCACCAGTTGACATGTATTGGACACATAGCATGATTTGTTTACTTTTGAACTTTGGTAAAAATCGAACATTTCTGCTACTTTGCGCTCAATTTTAAGGTACTTTTCATTGTAAAACCAGTCAAAAATCATCTCTATTTCTGTAGTATGTCTTCCATTCTATAAAATGAGACCAAGAAAACTAGAATACAACAATAAATACCATGCGAAAATACAGTGCAAAGTCGCTGTTTTATTAAAAAAAAACGATCAAATTTTTTTTTTCTCATTATGCATTGTGTGCTGCAGGATTTTTTTTATACTGCGCACACTGACCACATAGACCCATTCTTTCATATGTAGGCCTACCAGCTTTCTCCCACTAGATTTGAGGGCGCTAGAATTTAGGCGTACTAGTACGTCAAAAACCCTGGGTCATAAGCCGTACTAGTACGGCTGAAACCCTCAAAGGGTTAAAGGAGGGGTTTATGATATTGGCAGTTTGGAGGGATGTTATATATCTTTATATATGCTTCTAAACTGTTGTATCTGGGCTCCTCTGCAAAGACAGTGATTATGTATGAATGAGGTGAAAGTGTTGAATGATGATGAAAGTATTTTCTTTTTTGGAATTTTCTTTCTTTTTGGGTCACCCTGCCTCGGTGGGAGATGGCTGACTGGTTGTAAAAAGAAAAAAAAAATTCTATTCACTCATGTGTAAGTCCCACTCAAATCAAATCGTGTGTGTGGGGATGTACCCTGGCTGGTTTGTGTGGGGAAGTACCGTGGCTGGTGTGTTCTTTCTTGAATTCTATCATGTTTCTCACCTCCTTTACCAAAGGGCTGGGACTAGGAGCTTTCTTTTGGACCAATTTGGCTTATTTAGCAGTTGCAAGTACAAAAAACAATAGATTATTATGAAATGTATAGTATGAACGCTTGGGGTGGTGGTCACTTGCCCAGAAACAATGCCACACTGACTATCTAAATGATGTGTGGGAGCCTTTGTGTATGCCCAGCCACTGGGAGGCCGTGTTCCATACGGATGAATCGCAAGGCAAATCACGAAATGTGAGGCTATATTTGACGAAAAAAGTTGCTGAAAGTCGAAATTCACGAAGCGTGATGCCCACAAAACTCGGGGGTCCACTGTATACCTAACAGTCTTATTCCTCTATAATCTTACTCTTTTTTTTTCTTTTTTTTTCTTTATGAGGGAATGTTACATTCTCTCTGCCATTTCTTAGGTATCTTCCTTTATTTCATGCATATTTTGAACAAATACCCTAACCACTCCAAAACTGCTTTTAGCATCAAAGTCTTAATCCCATCTGAACCAGCTGCTCAAACCCCTTTTATTCTATCTACTGCTAACACACTCCCCACACTCACCTCTAGCTTTTTCGTACTCCTACCAGATCTTATTTATTCCTGCCCAGTACAAGAGACTGCCTCTTTTGCACTCAGTATTTAATCCTTTCACTGTCCAGACTCCCAAAATTAATATTGCTCTTGTGTCCACCTTTCTCCCCCCACACAGAATTATATTGTTCCATATAATATATTTTTTGGTTTAATTTTTATCTTAATCTCCTAAACTGTTGTATCTGAGCACCTCTGCAAAGACTGATTATGTATGAATGATGGTGAGAGCGTTGAATGACGAAAGTTTTTTCTTTTTTGGGTCACCTGCCTCAGTGGGATATTGCCGATGTGTTAAAAAAAAAAAATGAATTTGACAAAGGAGTTCTATCAGTTCAAATAAAGTGTTTGCTTTTGTTGAAATTTTAGTAACATATGAACTGTGGTAGTTTTATTACTGAATGCTCAATCAGTTTAATTTCCTATTTCTTTTCCTTTTTATAAGCATTAGTCACTCATCCACTTATCTCTAACCAAAGTTATGTTGCTCAGCAATTCATTTTTACTTCTGTTTTACCATTTGTGTTTTCCTATTATATTTTTCAAGGTTAAATATTTTTTTTGCTAATTTATTATTGTTATGGAACAGACTTTAGGCAAGATTGGACGAGTACAACAAATATATCATGACAACGACCTCAAAGTTGAGGTTTGTGGTACCTCTTGGACATACAATCCTGCAGCTGTTACCAAAGTTGCTTCTGATGGTACAGTTCCTGGTGCTGCTAGTGGAGGTAAGATTTCTTTATGCTTGTATTGTTACTTTGAATCAAACTCTTGACATAGTGTACTTCATAATGTGTCTGAATATACAGCTCAGTAATACAAAAAAAAAATATTATGTACAAGGTTATCTTAAAGTGAGTTACTTTTAACTCCTGCAGTTGGTGCATATAGATGTTTCTTTTATTTATACTGAAATGTTGCTTTTATTTTTATTAATTGTTTCTTTTTAACTGTACTTGTTTTACATGATAGTAGGATTGCTGGTGTCTTTTTTTCTGTCTCATAAAAACATGAGAGTTAAGGTACGTCTTGCCACTTTTACTTACACTTAGGTCACATGTACAGTGGAACCTCGATTTACGAGTTTAACCCTTTTAGGGTCTGTGCTGTAGTTCTACGGCTTTGAGTTGAGGGTCCAAACCATAGATCTACGCCATGAGCTCAGCTCACTCTGATAAGCTGTTAGTGGTAAATTTGGGCCTAGATATGAGAGAATACATCTATGTGGTATGTGTGCACCACATAAAACAAATCCTGCAGCACACAGTGCATAATGAGAGAAAAAACTGAGACCGTAATTTTCGATTAAAACAGCGAATTTGTATGTTTTTTATAGTTGTATTTGCGATTTCTTGGTCTCATTTGATAGAGTGGAAGATATATTACAGAAATAGAGATGATTTTGATTGGTTTTAGTACTGGAAATGGCTTGAAACTGAGTGGAAATGTTAAATTTTTGCTGATGTTCAAGAGTAAACAGATGACCTCACACGTCTAAATACATGCCAGCTGGTGGGTCTAATATACGTTCACAAATGTGGTGATATTATTTATACAATTATTACAATATTGCATAACAGTAAATCTTCTATTTTTTGGTTTGAATAAAAATTCTTTATGTGAATAAAAAATTAAAATGGAATTAATTTGTAAAGCCTGAAAACATAACTAATGAACAGAGGAAATGTAAGTTTAGTGCCAGGAATGCCTGTGTTGTTTATTCTGGACCCTATTTTGAAATTGGAATATTTTGAATTTTCATTAAATTGGCCAAATTACCAATTTCCGATCACTTTATTTTGTAGTTAAAACAGTTGACTTGGTGATTTCTTGTGCCCAATCGATAGAATAGAAGTAATACTAGTGAAATAGCTACAAATTTGATCGACTGGAATAATGTAATTGGCCTAAAATGGGAGTCAACTTTGGCAAAATTGCCGTTGCATAAATGTCACTGACACATCAAAATATGAGAGAGCATAATTTCGTCACTTTTCCATCAAATTTTGTACTTTTTGTTTTATTACCTTCAGAAAAATGATTCTCTACCATTTCATAAGAAAAAATAACAAATTTTTTTGTTTGAAAATTCTTGGACCCTGGTGCACACTTTGAAATTTGGCCTCTGGACCCTGAAAGGGTTAATCTGTTTCGTTACCTAGCTCGTAACTTAATTTGCTCAATTTTTAAATTTTCCTAATTTAAATTAATTGAAGTGCCATTAATCCGTTCCAGTGGAATTCCTTCTCACAGAAGGCAGGGCAAAATACTTCAATATGACGCTAATATCAACTCTACGGCTTATTTATCTATCACAATTCAACTAATATGACATAATAAACAATAAAAATAACATAGAAACATGATATATACTCTAGAATGAATAAAATGTCATGTGATGAGTGGTGGAAGCAATTCCCACTCCCGCACTGACCAAATCTTCCATGCTTTTATAAGAGAAAACTGAGCGTTTGTGATGCTAACTGCACTAGATCACTAGTTTCATAAGGACAACACTGAAACCATGTATTTATAAATAAGAAATATTATATAAAAACATAATGAAACATAATAGAGAATGTAAAGAAATAAATTGGTTATATAAAGTGTACGTACACACTTGCCTTGGAGCAGAGACACTTTCCCCTCAACCCACAACCCGCATACGTCGCTTGTTATCTATGATTTCCTGCTTTAATTCTATGTACATCATCATCTTTTTCTTCTCAGCACTGTCCTTTGCACTTACTTTCTTAGGACCCATGTTGGGACACTTGTAAGTCGAGGTTCCACTGTACAAGCATTTATATTCACGCCCATCTGGGTTTTCTATTTTCTAACTAGTTCTTGTTCTTGTTTACTTCCTCTTATCTCCCTGGGGAAGCGGAACAGAATTCTTCCTCCTTAAGGGGGTGACGAGCCTTTTTTTAGTGATAAAAAAATTGAAAAATTATGGAAAACAATGTTTTCTTACCAAAAAAAATAGTGCATAATTCTGGCAACATGTTGATGGAATCAGCTTGTTTCTGTTTTTGCTATCAGCAAGAGGACATGTTGGCAATTAGTGGGTTGTTTCTTTTTTTACTTCAAAAATTTAGATTTTTATGGTTGTTTCATTCTAAATACTCTACATGGCAACTTCTGTGAGGACAAAAGTGAAGAGAGTGGAGAGATTGTTCCTCAGTAGCCTGTAGGCTGTCCACAAGGATGGAGGGGTGCAACATGCTCAGATTTGGCGGGCCATAACCATAGAGTTTTATATAAAACATAATTATGTATAACTTAGGAATAAGTTATTGACATTATTTTCCCTCTCATGCGAAGAGTATTTATAGGATCACGATGATTTTTTCACATGTTATTGAGGAATGATGGTTCTATTGAATTACATAGAAGGGTTGTAATATGTTTTACCTTTTTGTTTTTATTGAATGTTTTTCTTCCAAAAAAGTCCTTAAAAAAAAAAAAAAAACATACAGTGGAACCTCTACTTACGAGTGCATCCATGTGCGAGTTTTTCCAGATACGAGCAGTTGCTCAGTTGAAGAGGAAAAAGGATTGGCTCTGTAGGAGCATTGGTGGCAATGTTTATACCTGGGGTTCTCTTATTAACATACTTTTATATTTTAGCAAGGGGCTAGTAACCCTTTCTCCTGTATACATTACTAAATTTAAAAAGAGAAACTTTCGTTTTTCTTTTAGGTCATCCTGCCTTGATGGGATATGACCGATTTGTTGAAAAAAAAAAAAATCACGTATGCATCTAGTGTTTATGCTGGCAGTCAATTTAAACTCTCATTTGTCTGATAATAAAGCCTAAATTCTGGCAGCTTCTTGAGCTGTTACAGCCTTAAACGAAAAATTAACATAAAAACAGTTTAATTTCCATGTCTGCCTGTAATTTTGCATTTTGTATTACTATAGTATTAACCTGTATTGTTGCTATTCAGCATATGAGCTAAGTTGAGAAGCATTGGTGAGAAAAAAGAAAGATAATTGAGTGAGAAATGATGGCTGTAACAAAAAAAAAAAAAACAGCATTGGATAAGCTGTGTCCTGGTAACAGTGCCAGCATGCATCACATATACTCATTTATTTAAAAAAAAAAAAGTTATTTCTCCTTGTCTAGGAATTTAAGTACAGTGGACCCTCGACCAACGTTGGCATCGTCTAACGTTAAATCCGACTAGCGATACATTTTAACGCAAAAATTTTGCCTCGACTAGCGCTAAAAAACCCGACCAACGCTATTCGTTCTGTTCGAGACACATCCACTTGTGGCCTGAGCGTGCCTCACTTGTCCCGTGGGTGCCAGTGTTTACAAGCCAGCCAGCCACCGTGGTCCCATCCAAACATACAATCAGAACATTTCATATTATCATTACGTTTGTAGTGATTGCACCTGCAAAATAAGTCACTGTCAGCATCGACATCCCCATGGGCCCCAAGAAAGCTTCTAGTGCCAACCCTACAGCAAAAAGGGTGAGAATTACTATGGATATGAAGAAAGAGATCATTGCTAAGTATGAAAGTGGAGTGCGTGTCTCCGAGCTGGCCAGGTTGTACACAAAACCCCAATCAACCATCGCTACTATTGTGTCCAAGAAAACGGCAATCAAGGAAGCTGTTCTTGCCAAAGGTGCAACTATGTTTTCGAAACTGAGATCGCAAGTGATAGAAGATGTTGAGGGGGAGGGGGGCGATTGGTGGGATAAACAAAAAACATAGCAGGAAATACCCATTCATCAGCGATCATATGTGAAAAGGCTAGGAAGTTGCATGACGATTTAATTAAAAAAATGTCAGCAACTAGTGGTGATGTGAGTGAATTAAGGCCAGCAAAGGTTGGTTTGAGAGATTTAAGAATCGTAGTGGCATACATAGTGTGATAAGGGGCATGGGGGAGGCTGCGGGTTGGCCCAAACAAAGCGGCTGAAAAAATATTGCAGGAATTCAAGGAGTACATAGGACAGTGAGGACTGAAACCTGAACAAGTGTTTAATTGTGACAAAAACAGGCCTGTTTTGGAAGAAGATCCCAAGCAGGACCTACATTACTCAGGAGGAAAGGCACTCCCAGGAATAAGCCTTTAAAAGACAGGCTTACTTTTGTTGATGTGTGCCAATGCTAGTGGTGATTGCAAAGTGAAGCCTTTATTAGTGCATCACTCTGAAACTCCCAGAGTGTGCAGGAAAAACAATGTCCTCAAGGCCAATTTGTGTGTGCTGTGGAGGGCAAACAGTAAGGCATGGGTCACTAGGGACTTTTTTTTATGACTAGTTACACCATGCATTTGCCCCCAAATGTGAAAAATTACCTCCTGGAAAATAAATTGGACCTTAAGTGCCTCCGGGTATTAGACAGTGCTCCTGGTCATCCTTCAGATTTGGGCAGAGCGATTTCTGCGGCATGAGCTTCATTAAGGTGAAGTTTTTGCCCCCTAAACCACCCCTCTCCTGCAGCCCATGGACCAGCAGTCATTTCCAACTTCAAGAAACTGTACACAAAAGTTATGTTTGAAGGTGCTTTGTAGTGACCTCAGAAACTCAACGGGACTCTAAGAAAAGTTTTGGAGAGATCACTTTAGCATCCTCAATTGTGTAACCTTATAGGTAAGGCATGGAGGAAGTGATTTAAAGAGGCCCTTTGAACTCTGTTTGGGAAAAAACTGTGGTCAGAATGTGTAGAAAAAAGGGATTTTGAAGGGTTTGAGGCTAACCCTGAGAAT